TGTGTGTGTGTGTGTGTGTGTGTGAAGTATTCCACGCTCCTATTGAAGGCCTCCAGTTCCACATTAACCCTTAATCTGTCACAGTAATGCTTAATGCCAATGCAATCCACTATCTCCAAGCATAACAGACCCATTCATTTGCCTGCACGTCTGAATCCTTTCCTTATTACTTATTACCACTCATCCTCTTAAGTCTTTCTTTCTCTCATTCTCTCTGACTCTTTACTGTGCATTAACAAACCTCTCTATTCGTCTCCATGTTTCTGTCTCTTTTCAGTCATCCTCTCCCATCCCTCTCCTCCAAAGTCTCCCTTCATCCCTCCAGATCAGAAAGCTTAACTGTTCCCTGTCACTCATGTAGCTCCAGACACAGTATAGTTAATATACTGAAACAATCGATTTAAACGTGACCTAAAGGGGACGAAAAATGATATTGTGTTTTAATGTCAGACAAAATGAACAAAGTGTCCCTTGAGACCCAAACTGACTCCCCAGTTTGATGTTCGGTGGCAACATTTGTAAGTAATTATTCCTGGCAGCTGCTTACTAACCTACTGCCCTTTATGCCTACTGGCATGTACGCAGTGACAGAGGACTTCTCTCCTGTTTGCTTTAAGAGGCACTACAGTATAGTTAAAATAAGGCAAATGTACGGTGAGGTTAAGGAGAGATGACATCATCTTAAAAAGAAGGGTACCACTACCCAATAGTCCTGAACATTTCAAATTTCAATCGTCGAGTGAACTTCACAAAGATAAAAGGTTGTTTCTCTGCTTTGTTATCATCTATAGTTCGTTTCAAAGTGACATCATAAAAACACAATGAAAATGTTGAAGAAATAAAGATGGAGATTCAATGTTGAGAAAATAAATAATTATTTCGATGTTGCTAGCCCAATACAGAAAAGGTCACACTAGGATCTCTTTTTGAATAATCCAGATTATATTAAAGTTTACTGCTGTTTTGCTTCATTTTATATTTAGAGACATTTAGTATCAATAGTCGTACAGTTTGGCTTTAGTTGGGAGATCAGCTGTTTGAGTAGCAAATCCACTACATTGCATTTGCTCTCTTAGCTTCATGAGTCAAATAAAAAAAAGTAAAAAAGAAATTTACGAAATCTAGAGAAAGAAAATAATCTTACACTTATCCTTATCATTAATTTGACTACAAAACTTAAAAACACAACAAAAGTAAACTCAGCAAAACTGTCCACTGCCCAGACAATATACTCAACTCAACATGGCCGACACAAACCAGGGATGTGTTTCTGGAGGCTGACTCATAATGAGCTCAATCAAAAGTCAAACATTTCAATTCTTTCAAACCTGGAGGCAGTTTGTGGCACTGTGACATTAGTGGCTACATCTACTGACACAGCCGTCTCTTTTAGTCCTCATCGCTCGGTTGACATTTCCTATTCTTTAAGAGAGATGTATCTCTGCTCCTTGGTGCTTCCATCTTCCATACATCTTTGCTGACTAGCCGAATCACCCTCATCCCTATCCCCCATGGTACAGTCATAATTATATGAACAGCAGGTCTTCCTAACGATAAGTGGTGGCTGGTCGAAAATATTTTTGGTTGGGCTTTGGAAATGGTGACAAAACCATACTAGGGCGGTCCCCGGAGAAATGACCCCTTAAATTATGACTTCTGGTGATGTTAGAGGGGAGGGGGGGAGGACAAATTGAGGCTTAAAAATATGAGATAATCCATAATCTTCAGTGTGGTTAGCTATGAATCTTCCTGTGCAACAGTACAGTATAGGCCCACACAAACTGCAGAACACTGGTGCTTTGGGAAGACTCAAATGATTTAATTCCCATTCAAAATCAGGAGACTAAATACGGTGTGTGTGTGTGTGTGTGTGTGTGTGTGTGTGTGTGTGTGTGTGTGTGTGTGTGTGTGTGTGTGTGTGTGTGTGTGTGTGTGTGTGTGTGTGTGTGTGTGTGTGTGTGTGTGTGTGTGTGTGTGTGTGTGTGTGTGGCACGGGCACATAGTATCTGCCCCGGCTGTTTGAAGAGCAAGCATGGGAAACAAAAGACAGTGTTTGCATCCAGCTAGTCACACACACAGTTACAATCACACTCCCTGTAATTGACATAATTAATACATAGTTTAGCTTCTCACCATCATTTGCTGTGGCCCACTGATGTTAACGATCGTAACTGAAAGGCTGCCTGTCAAACGTAAACATTCAGCCACGTGACTCGCGAACTCTCGCGAGAGTTTTACACAAGACGGATCCTTTCTAGCCATAACCCTGCACCGGGCGCTGACATTGGCGCCCGGTGATCGTCAGATTTGACGACGCTGATTGGCTGAAATTATGTTTCGGAGCCATAGCTTACAGATCGCAACAGTCAGCTGCTGCGCTGCACTGGTTGAGGGCTCCTCTCTTAGCGCCCAGACGAGAGAGGGTAATGATACACGGGCAAGGCCAGGCAGGAAACATGTGACTTATCAGTAACTTTAGACATCGTAACACCATTTTAAACGAGATTTTATTGTAGAGTATACATTTTACTGATAACAATTATATAATATTTACCTTGTTCATTAAAAATTAAAATTTAAAAAATATATTTAAAAAAATATATATATTTTTTCATTTTAATTTTTTTAATTTTTAATGTGGGAAGAGGTGGGGCTGCGCCCCTAGCGCCCCTATGGG